ACTAGCGTGCGACTCGAGCCAAGAGAAGACCTATTTGAAAGCATTTGGCCAGGAGGGATCACGCGAAACAGAAGGGCTGAAGCGAGAGGCAAAATACAGAATGGGATGGTGGCGTGCAATTCGAGGCCGGAGAGGTTTGAATCAAATGATTTCAATCTGGAGCAGGGAACCACAATAGGACTGCATCCAATTGCATCAATGTTTTTTGTTGCGTAAATCACAATAGCATTTCAAGCAAAAGCCAATTCAGAGTATGAGGTAAGCCAGACTAATGGAAGAAGGAAAATTAATATGGGCAAAGAAAAGAAACAAAACTACCGCTCCATGGGTGGAACCAGCTTCATTAGTGGAAATTAGGGAGGAGACTCAACCATAAGGAAGCTGAAGATGTTGATCTTTGAAAGAGATGATGCCTATGGTTGAGTTTATTGAGTCGAGAGATACTTTTTTGTTAATCAGCTGACGAAAGAAGAAAAATTGATGGCAGCGGCCCTATGTCCGGAAAGGAAGGCTCCAGCATGATACCAATATAGAGACTAACATCAACCAATCAAAATATGAGAAGAATTCAAGGATTGATTATTGGAGTGTTTCACAACCATGCAAGAAGGGGATCTGCAAGTGTAATTTTTTTGCATTGGTTCAATAAGGGTCCGTCGTGAAATATAGAGAGAAAGTTTAGAAGCCATCTGGCCATTTGGGGGAGATATTAGAAGCAATGTTGAAAGGAAACTTTATAAAAGGTGAGGCCAGAAATTTGAACAGAACTTCATCTACTGAGTTGGCAAGGACTGAGAAACAACTATGAAATTGGTAAAGTTAGTTAAGGATAAAAACGTAATGAAAGGCTAATAAGAGAAGCACAAGTGGAGCGACATACAAAAATCTCGTAATCATGACAATACCAAAAAATTAAAAGGTGGGATTTCAAAGGTAAGCTCCACAGATCAGGAATAATGAGCTACGAGAAAAGGGGGAACATTCAAATGCCTTACAGAGACAAAGATTCAAGAGAAGTGAGCCAATATGATATAATTTTGATGCGATAAGAAGTTTGCCTCAGGACATGTTGCAAGGATCGGATATTGTAGATTCTCACAATGTGTGATAATGAGATAAGGGATGAAGAAGCATAAGAACTTGCGGTGGAGAAGGAAGAGAAACACGCTCACTTGGATGTGATAAAATCTCATTGAACTCGGTGGTGGAGTTAACACAGAATCACACTATAAAAATTCGAGGACAGATAAGAGAACAAGACGTGGCGGTGTTGCTAGATAGTGGTGTCACCCACAAATTCACCTCCAATCAAGCAATGGAGCAATTAGGGGTTGAGATGATTGACATAGAAAATTTTGGAGTAATGATGAGAATAGAATGGGCAGAGAATAGCAGAGGAGTTTGTGAATGATGGAGGGTAATTTTGGGACCGTAAGGTATTCAAATTTCATCCCTTAGACTTATATTTAGAGAGCGCTAACATGATATTGGGTATAAAATAGTTGCAATCCTTAGGGGAGAGACTAAGATGAATTGGAAACTCCTAACAATGTGATTGCATGAGGGAGATAAGACAGTGGTGCTTCACGATGACTCTAATTTGTGCAAATCCATGGTTAGGGCAGGGCAATTTAGGAAGCAAGGTTGGGGTTCTTGATCTAGTTGCATGACATGGAAGAGATATGATACGAAACTGACAAAGATTTTGGCACCGATCCAATAGCTCTTACAACAATTTGCAGAAGATTTCCAGTTGTCGCATAGATTTTCGCCTTGAAAGGAACATGAGCATGTGATAAGCCTGAAACTAGTTGTTTCTCCCATCAGTGTACACTCATACCACTACCACCAAGTGCAGAAGGATGAGATTGAGAGATTGATCTGAGACATGTGGGAGGCCAAGATCATACAACCAATTTGAGCCTCTTCTCTAACCTAGCCTTCCTGGTGAAGAAGAAAACTGGGAGTTGGCATTTTTATGTGGATTATTAGGCAGTGAAAAATGTAACAGTACCAGACAAAATTTTCAACCTGATGATTAATGAGCTAATGGAAGAGTTGTTTGGAGTTGTACTATTCTTCAAGATCGACTTGAAGTCAGGATACTACCAAATCTGGATGCGGCTAATATATGTGCAAATGTTTGCATTTCAAACTCATGAGGATCACTACAAAGTTTTGGTTATGGCATTCAGGCTCACTAATGCTCCAACTACATTTTAATCACTGATAAACAAAGAGTTTTAGTTCCTCAAGAAGTTTGTGTTGGTGTTCTTTAATGATATTTTAGTGTGTAGTTGTTCCTTAGAAGACCCCAATTATCATTTGAAGGTGTTGACGGTATTCGATGAGTACCAACTCTACGATAACTTAAGAAAGTATTCCTTTGCCCAACTGAAGGTGGAGTACTTGGGACATAAAGTGTCGGCTGCAGAGGTGTCAGAGGATTCATCGAAGGTGGCGACAATCTGGATTAGCCACTACCTAAGAAGGGTTGAGAGGATTTAAGGGACTTACATGATACTATAGAAAGTTCGTGAAAGGTTACAATTAGATTGTGAGATCGTTGATAGAGCAATTGAAGAAGAATAACTTTCAACATGGGGAAGCAGCAACCCAGGCTTTTGAGAAGTTAAATAAGGTAAAGACAAGTGTACCAGTGTTGGCATTACCTAACTTCAGCCAACTATCCATCGTAGAGATGGATCCTCCAAGCTATGGATTAGGCGTAGTCCTCATACAGTGCCAAAGACCCATCAATTATTTCAATTAAGTATGGGAGAATGTGATAACGAATTTTATTGAAGGTTTACCTCGTTCAAAAGAATTTATTGTTATCTTAGTGGTGGTGGACCAATTGAGCAAGTACGCTCATTTTGTCCCCCTACACTGCTAGTTTTACCGTCGTTATTTTTATACAAGGTTATCCATTTGCATGAGATTCCATAATCGATAGTGTAGGATCGACACAATGTCTTTTGAGTCATTTCTAAAGGGAGTTATTTAGAATACAAGGGAACATACTAAACAAAAGTATAGTGTACGACCTACAGATTGATAGACAGACTGAAATTGTTAATTGAAGTGTGAAAACCAATTTGCATTGCTTTATTTCTAGCACACCCCAGCAATGGGATAATTGCTATCCTGGGAAGAATATTGGTATAATACTCCGTATCATACAACTTTCCAGGCCACCCCTTTTAAAATCGTATATGGTGTGATCTACCACATTTTGTGCATTATGGACAGTACCACGCCAATGTCACTGGTGGATCAGTACTTAGAAGAGAGGGTAATGTGTTGGCGAAACTGAAGAGATTTTTATTGAAGACTCAACAATTTATGAAAAAACAAGTTGATGGACAACGAAGGGATGTAAATTTTTTTGTGGGAGATAGGGTGTATCTAACAATTCAATCCTATCGACAAAAGACATTGGCAAGATGCAGGAATGAGAAGCTATCTCAACACTATTTTGGTCTTCATGAGATCACAAATTGCATTGGTGAGGTGGCTTATCATTTAAATGTGTCGCCTTCATCAACACTTCTAGTGTTCCACGTATCACAACTGAGATGCTCTATTAATGAAAATGTGCCCTCTTCTTCTCCTACCTTGACTAAGGATATGAAAAATTATTTTGGAGGCACTGGAGTTAAAAAGGGTGTGTCAGGAATGCATAGGTAGGAAAGAAGTATTTATTCAATGAAATGGGTTGCCAGATATGATAACCCGTGGAAGACATAAGACTTGATTCAACAATAATTTTTTCTTTTCCACCTTGAGAACAATGTGTCTTATTTGAAGGGAAGTAATGTTAGACCGGCACTAACGACGCTTTTTGCCATGCCAAACGCACCAAATAATTTGAAGACTTATTTTAGGCAAAAGACTAAAAGAGCAATTTAGTCATTTGTTAGTTATTATTAGTTGATACAAATAGGGCTTACTATGATTAGGTTTAGGGCATTTGATTGTTGCCTGAACTCTTAGGATTTAGGATTTGGGAGATAATTGCCTATCTCTCAACTTGAAAGCTTATTTTTTATGCATTTAGTATTGTGCTGTTTTATTTTGAAACAGGTGGAATAAAATATATTATTTCAACTCAATTTTTTGTGAAAACTTGTCTTGTTCCTATCAATTTTCACTTGAGGTTAAAATTTAACAAAGCCAAAAGCATTTGAAAACCAATAATAAGTTATTCCAAAAAAAAAAAAAAAGCGAATCAAAGAAATAAAATGTCTAACTAGGAAATTCAAGCATCAAACCAGTACAATCCAATTTGCACATAAAACATTAAAGACGGGAAAAAGAAATATAGCTGAAAATTATCATATTACATGTCTTAGCCTATCAATTTATAGACTCCTCATCCCTAAATCAATAAATATAGTTGTCACAAGATAATCGCAATATGATTCCAAATAACTATCCAACTCAGAATTAAAATCTGATCCAAAAATGATAATTAAAATAGTTTTTTTTTTCTTTTTTTTCTTGCTGCAAACAAAAGCAAACCACCCCCAGTAAATTCTCTGAAACCAAAATTCTTAAGTTGAAGCAAGCAAAATGACAAAATCAAGCGACGTAACAATGCTCGCAAGAAAAGGCCATCGAAAAATTATAACAATAACATGACCAGCAAGGAATCACACATCACAAGGGATGCTTCAGTTATGCTTTAATCTACCTAACTTGAAAAAGTCCACACTAATAAATTTAGCATTTGATACTTATCAACAATATTAGAGCATAAATTTTCAGCATCTTATAAGGTAATGAATGACTCATCACAAGCAAATATATCATAACAGTGAACAAGTTTCTTGAAATCTAACATCAACAGCGCCACACATAATATTATCATCCAGCATACCCTCCATACCCTGAGGAGCAATTGGTGAATCATCTAATAAAGGTTCTTGTGTAATCACACAAAAGAGTTGGAAAATAAATCCAATAAATTGACAATAAAAACATGAAATAAAATTAAATTAGAAATTAAAATTTTGAATAATGCTAGAATATCCTGAAACAATTTTCAGGCATGAATTCCAATGCACTGCTCTTATGTTGTTTTTCGCTTGCAAGTTTGCATTTCTCAAGCTCAAGTGCAATCTGGAAAGAAATAATGCAAAAAAAGAATATATACAAAAGAAAGAAATTGTCCACCACACAAATAAAAAATGTAAATAACAAATAAAATTGTTCACAATATCAAATGAGCTTATTAAAGAAGGAAATTAACAATATAAAGGCATGAGCTTAACATATCATCATGTATTAGGAAGTACCAAAACCCACCCCTGGTATTGTTCTTTCCAAGAGTTCAACATTGTGTGGGCAGACACTACAGCTTCTTCTGTGGGCAGTTGTTGAGCCAAAAGATCAAGCCTAAACTGAAGTGATCTAAGCAATGCCAGGCCATCCTGTGCAGTGCCATTGAGTCTAGGGAGAGAATTCCGGTCCTGAATACCCTTTCCAGATTTCCCACAACATTGAATTTCTTTTATGTTGTCCTGAATGTGATTCACAGTTTGATCCCATGTCCTTTTCACATCATCAACAGCAAGTGAAACTTCGTCCATTAAAGCCTATAAATGTAGCAAAAATAAGCAAGCCATCAAGAGGACAGCCCACACCCCATTCTCATATAGTAAAATGTAGGGAAGCTCGCATACATACAACACAATTCTTTGTATTTACATATCAAAAGTTTGATAGTTAAACTTATAAAACCTTGTTGTCATAAACCTATGCATGAAAATGTATATTTCACTTTTAGAAAGATAGTGATTGTGGTATTTTTTATGTGATGTTGAGTGGCATGCATGCAAATATAAATGTTTGGGCATCAGATATCTAAATACATAAGATTTGTGTGGTATGTATATAAACACGCTTAAAATGTATTCTTGGAATAAACACATACATATTGAATTTCCAAAGAGACGATAATCACACTCAATTTCAGGGCAGATCACCGTCAAAGATTTTTTAAATGCAAATTAATGCTGTGAAATGAATTCAATGTAAATACAGAGAAGATATTTAAAATGCAAATCATGCCATTCATGACGTTACGGCTCTTCATCAATAAAATTTAAGAAACGTTATTTGTTATCTCCAATATAGACTTCATCAAGTGAAAGCAATAATAATAATAATAATAATAAATACATCAAAATATAGTGTAGAACCTAGCAGCACATACACTTTATCTGACCCTGGCAGCACATCCACTTTATCTTTGGTTACTACTTGAACCATCTTGTATTGTTATCTTAAAAGCCACAATATTAAAAACCACAATAACAAATTCTAACAAAATAATTAAATTAATAACAACAACTTCCTCATTTAACCCACTGCTAGTTGCTAACTCTTCATTTCTTAATTTCTCAACAAGTATATTAAGCAATTTTTTTCTCATAAAATATCTCTTATTTTGCACGAAAAATCCAGCAATATTTATAAAATTGTAGGCTGCTTTGAAAAAGATGCAATTTGTAAATGATTTTTAGCCAAAAAACAGCTTTTGTATACCTGCATTGTGTGATGTTAGCATCCGCTATTTTTGTAAGCTCTTTGCAGTTTGCACCATCACAGTGTTCGAATTATAATCTACATATTTTGCTCCTAATTTAAGATCTATTTGAATGTCATCCTGAATGATTTCTTTAAAAATTTATTTGCAATTTTTAATATAAATATCACCAATGATAACTTTAGCTTCAACCACATTTATTTTTTAGATCTCTCTCAAAGAAATTGGCTAGACTCTTAATTTTAGCTAGAGAAATATAAACACAAACAGCAGGGTTGATAAATTCATGATCTATTTAATAATGAAAACTTTTTTTACTGAAGTGTAATCCCAACTATGCAAGTTAAAATTGGTTACAATAGCTTGGAATTTGAAAATTTCAAATCAATCAGAATAATAATTGATTTAAACAACAATATCATACACCATATTTTTCTATAATAACAATTGTGCTCATTCATTTGATACTATCAATTAACAAAAATCAAATCAATTAGTTTATTATCAAAGTAAAAAATATTTTGGTAGCAATTAGCAATTCTTAGGCAGTTAAGTAATAAAGCTAAAAAAAATTGTCAAAATTAGAGAAACATATACCTTAATAAAAGATCTAAGAAAGATTAACTGAGAGAATGAGAGGAAAGTATGACCGCAATCTAGCAACATAAAATCTAAAGATAAGTTAAATTGTTAAAAATAGGATAGAAGAGAAAATGAAAGAAAAAAAAAGAACAACAATCGATTGAGAGCTAGTGAAGTTTGTGAATTGCGACGTGCGCTTATGAAATCTAAGTGAATGATAAGTTGAGCCAACAAAAGTCGTCTTTATTTGCATTTCTAAAAATCTGACATATGTTGGGTCGTCAATGACGATGCTACGAACAAGGAGAGCTAATGAGAGTGTGATTAGCATCTGCGACTATGAGTTAAGACTTTCATACCCCGGGCCCAAACAGATGATAGACCCTGACAACGTAGGGCATAATAAAATAAATTGAACATGTTTTATATTGACAAAAAAAAAGATAGTATGCTAACAATTATAAAAGGGGTTTTTACTTGGCAGGCTGACAACAAATCGATAAGCCAATGTTTTAATGTTTCATTCTTCCAACCACCCAAAACATCAAAACCCTTCGTTTCAACTACCAAAACGCACGCCACTCGCACAATGTCTCCTCTGTAAAGTTTGTTGTCGATTCCGTCTCCCTCCATCGTCGTCGTCTCACAGGTATGCCGAACTCCGTATACGTCGTCTAAGAGGAACCCCTTCCATCTGAGAACCCGCCATTTCCCCTTTCCCGCCATCCATCTACAACCAGGAACCGAAGACCTCTGAAACAATCCCATCTTTCTCTTCTTCTTCCCCTTCCGCCCTCGCTGAGCTTCTTCTTTCCCTTCCCCCTACCTTTACTGAGAAACTCATAATGCAGCCGCTGCTAGAGCATGAAAGGAGGCAAATGAAGGTTTTCTCCTGTAAATTTATCTCCAACAGAATTTGTAAATCTGAGAGTTATGACAAGATGGAATAGAAATGAGATTTAAGATTTTGTAGGATTTATAGTTGTCCTTTTTACTGTTTGGAAGGATTAATGTTGTTTCTCTTACAATGACGAAAGGGACACTGCAGAATGAATGAATGATGAATATAACTGTTTGTGCGATCAATTCTCCTCCGCCTTCAGCCTTCCAGCTTAATTACCTCGTGGACCTTTCAGTGG